ATCACTCCATGCATGCAGGTACGTACTTAACACCCCGTGCTATGGCCACTTCTTCTTCGGTCTCCAACCCCACTGTCAAATTCCAAATCTCATCTCGCCAGCCTTAATCTTGCCAGTGAACACCAACAACAGATGCAACGAGTACCAGCTCCGATACCAATTGCATTGAGCCACACTGCACGTCACCACACACACACGAAATCCGCACTGGAGACCAAAGATGCGAAGTCCATATTAGCGCAGCTTAGAAATTCCAACGAGTTATCATATTGAACAGTTTCGGAGTTCCAGTCACCAAGCGCTCAACAGCGCAGAGTTCAGCAACCCATATCCAACATTCTTATCCAAGGTAGGTGGCTCTCTTTCTCTCTGTTCCTCTCTTCGTCTTTCTCTTTCCCTCTCTCATGCATGTGCCCTCTCTCTCTCTCTCCCTCTCTCTTTTTCTCTACTTGAAGTTCTTGACTCTGGATACACCTGCTACTATTCAACTCTACCTCCTACTACTAGTTGTGCGGCTGTGGCCGCCTTCCTCCCTCAGCACAACACTGCCCAGCCAAGGCTCTAGCGCATGTTACTCGCAGATAGCGCTGCCCAGCCAGGGTTCAAGCGACCAGCAGCACTTCCACACGTCTTGCGCATGAGCTATCTGTCTGAAATGTGGCTGGCCAGTCTTTGTATTGACTTGGACTGAGCCTTGACTTGTCCCAGCCTCTTCTTCTCTTGGCTTGACTTGGACCCGTTACCTGCTGCCCGCGGCTTGTGTGCTTCAGAATGTTGAGGCCGGTACCTCCCTCAATTTCCTTGGTGTGCTGTTGCTTTTGGGTCTGTGGGACGTGACCTTTGACTCTGGGTCGTGACCCTTGCCTGTGGGATATGACCTCTGACTGTGAGATGTGACTTTTGCCTATTGGATGTGACTTTTGCCTCTTGGATGTGACTGTTGACCGGGTACCTGTTGGACTTGACCCCTGGGGTATCCGACGTAACCTTTTTGAAACTGGCCGACCTGGCCTCTCTTGGCCTGGGGATTTTGACCGTGAGATTCGAATTTGGGGCCTGCATCGTGGAATGCCTTGCATCAACAACAACAATGAATGAGTGGATCAGAAACAATGTCCAAATCCTCCCCTTATTGCCAGCCACTAAAGAGTCCTCCATAGCCATCCTACACCTTCTTCTACTACTTGGTCAATTTGGTGGCTATGGCGGACCATAGGAGCCTAGCTCCAATGTTCAAACGACAACAGAAGGCCACCTTCTTCTTCTTCCTCCTCCTCCTCCCTCTTTTTCCTCCTCCTTCCTCAGTCCTAGGCCTCCCACATATCTAGTCCTTCTCCCACCTCCGCCTTGGTCACCTCCACCACAGCGGAGGCGGGGGCCAAGCTCCGCTTCCTTCCTCCACCCAGTGCTGCTTCAGCCGGGTGGTTGCTTCAGCAGCGTGGCTCCAAGCTGCATGCCAAGAAATGAGGCTGAACTGGTCGCCTCGTCTCTTGATATGCCTGACTAGTGCCTCAACCGTCATCTGAAATGGTGAGGGGGTGTCCACCACTTCAGCCCGAGTAGGAGCAGCTATTGCTCCTATTGGCTGGATGTGTTTTCGTGGGATGTGCTCGCAGAAGCACTCCCCTGGGATAAACATGCAACCGGCCTAATGGGCGGCACCTTCGTCGTGACTTTCTTGTTCTTGCAACGATCTATGGGGTGACCATTTTTGGCCACAAGTTGCTCGCACCCTAACATAGCGGTCACACCACACATCTTCCTCCGGACCCGCTTTGGCCCAAGCTGGTGCTTTGGGGTCTACCTCTTGACTCCTAGACCGGCTATCCTTATTACTGGTCCCCTTAGCCTTTGCTACAGGTGCCATGACTCCACCCTGACAAGTCTCTTAGCCCCCGAACTGCGTTGTCTCTTCCCCAAGATCAGGTAAGTCTTCCACCTCATGCTCCTTGTGTTACGGACTACACCAGGGCTCGATCCCTGGTCCGCGACCCGCAGTTCACTGCACACATTTTTTTTTTTTTGTTCTCTTATTTTTATTTTTCTCTTTGTTTTATTGTTCCGATTTCGGACACTTGGCGCCATCCGACATTCTGGAGCCCATTTTCGAACTTTCGATTTTCACTTCTGCCCTGGGAAAATTGCACTTCCGCCCATCGAACTGAACTTGAGTCCGATACTTAAGATCGGACCCAAGCCCAGTACGACATTCAGTTTGCGGCCTTAGTGCTTGTGCTTCGGTGTGACTTGCCTCAACATTGTGTTCTGAAATCCAAGACTTCGACTTTGCGACTTGGCCACTTCATGTCTGCGTCCGTCGAATCCTGTCGTGTTTGGGTCGAGTTGAGTGAGTGTGTGTGTGTGCTCTCACTCTCTCCCTCTCTCTCCCAACCTCGTTGCCTTGCCTCTTCCTCAGCCTCGTCACACTGGTATCAGAGCGGTTCGAAGCCGCCCGACCCACCCGGCTTCGTCGTCACCACCCGACCATCATCAACGTCATCGTCGCGATCGTCGTCGTCGTGCCACGTCATCACGTCACCATCGCCGTGCCCGTCGTCCTCGTTGCCGCGCCGTGCCATACTCGTCATCGTCGTTGCTACCCCGCGCAGATAAGTAATCGACAACAATTCTTTTTTTATTTTTTATCTTTCTTCTTCTTCTTCTTCTTCTTCTTCTTCTACTTCCTCCCCC